GATTTAACATTGACAGTATTTATTACTAAAGTTAATATTAGGTAAGCTTCTGACTTAATAGGTGGATGGCGTTTTATTCATGTGGTTGTAGGTAACGATGAATATTGTGTTTACTCTGAAGAAGCGACTTGCATTGAGTCATGTAACGTCAGAAATACAAATATCACCAAAATATTTATAACCATTCAATATTTTCATCATAGTGTTGTGAAGATTGTTGAGCTTCATTCAAGTCATAAATCAACTAATGTTAAACTATCATTAGAAACCTGGGAGCATTGCATAGCCGTTTCGTCCTAGTGTGGAACTGGCTCATCAACAGTGAGCATCCACCACCCACGCTCGCAGGAATCGAACATAAGATCATTGATTTCGCACATGAATGCCTCATCTCGAGATTTACTGAGTCGGCATCCAACGGTGTTAATAGCAAACTTTAATCAATCCGAAATATTGCGCGACCTTATCCATTGTCTTCGGTAGGTAAACTGCCTCACACTCAACACAGTCGAAATTCACTGGTCCCTGCTTCTCACTAGAACTCCGAGAATTTCCTCATGAAGTTATTGATCACTTAGCACATGATTATTTACATTATAAAGTTGTAGAGATTGTTGAGTCCCATTGAAATCTTGAATCGATCGATCCACGGTAGTGAAGTTCAGCTGCGTCAGGTTTGAAGCAGAAGACAATGGATGGGGTCGTGCAATAGCCTGGATGGATTGGAGTTAGATATTGACAGCTCAGTGATCCAGAGGTTAAGCACTCGAACGAGAGCCCGAAGGTCCCTAGTTTCGATTCTTTACTATTCAAAATAACAGTTAAACAAAAAAATTGTAAACAGAATCCGTAAAACTGAAACTTTATCATCTTGTAAAAACTAAGATAAAGGGTCCTGTGTGTTTTATTCTCTGATGCATACTGCTAATGAATCACACACAATACAGGATAAAATTACAGTCATATCAAATGCATCTTGAAAACAAATATTACTCACAAACCACTCATTCTAATATATAATAACTAATAATCTTTACTCTTACTTACTTACTTAAGCCTGTTACCCCTAATGGATCATAGGCTGCTGATCAGCGAATTATCTGTTCCGGTTAGCGTTTTTTTTCCTAGCGAGTTGAATTTCTACAGGATGAGATCGCTAACCCCATGCACCCAATCCTCTTCCTTTATCCGAACTTGGGATCGGCAGTAACCCTCGGAACGGCTTCAAGAGGAGTTATGATTACCATTGACATTAATGTTTACTCACATATTTATAGATTGTTACCATTTATTTTTCAAACTATTTCAAACTGAACATGGGTTCACAATGTTCATCGATCAATATTTCCATGTCCTAAATTAAATGTCTCTTTATTTTTATCGTTTTAATTTTGAAAAATCACGAGAAAAAATCAATATAAATATGAGTTCTATTTACATTTATTCTAATTTTTTTCAAGAATGGTTTTGTAAAATATCGATAAATTTATAAAAAATGTGAATTCTATGGATAAAGATAAATTCATGTTTTAAAACGAAAGATAAGATTATCTAATTGATCAATGTATTACTGAAGTGTATTATTGAAGTAGGAAAGATGAATTTCTATTGTTTGATCACAAGGATTTATAGGAGAGAAGAAAAGTAATTTACAATTCAGAGAGAGAGAGAGAGAGAGAGAAATTATGATGTAAAAAAATCGATAATAATAATAATAATTGGTTGTCATTAAGTTATTAGTATTGTTATTATTATTATTAGCAGAGATGAATGCGACTGCTTTTTTACTGATCATCTGTTTATATCGACGCTGTCCGAGTAGGATGAATGTATACCGAAAGAGATTGATCAGTCACAAGACTAACGATCAGTGTGAAGATTGTAATATCTAATAGAAATGAATTAGGTTTCACTCTACTGAACAAATTGGCAGCTTAGTGAATGACGTTGATGATGTTTGAAGGGAAGGATACTTGATTCCAGTCTCGAAATGGATATTAACTCTGGTGATACGGTCACATTTAGATGACGAGTCTCAAATAGGACCGAACGCGTATGCTAAATTCGACTGCTGCCACTACCTATCTCTGCTCATGATGATTCTGACTACCTATAGCTGTGAGTAATCTGACCTCAAAATGCGAACATCCCGACTAATTTCCTATGTTTCCTCAAACTAATAGTTTAAAGAAATCATCTAAGGTCAAGAAAATTGTTAATATAAGGTTAAACAAGAAAGTTTTTTAAAGATTTTATTCCAAAGATACGGAGGCAACAGACTGGACTGAATAGTGCTCATAAAGCACTTTACTTAAAGGAAATGTTTAGAAAATTGTCGATCAACTAACTACCTTACAGACAAATAAAAAACAAAACGTACATTTGATAATCCGAAGTAATTTTATTCTGTATACTAACTAGTAATACCGGTAATCACGTAAGAACCAGTATTGAATTCAGAAACAACTCCGTGAGTACAAACTAATGTTTTGTATTTGAAAATCAAATCAGGCGCGAAATCGTAATGTATGAAAGAATCACTGTTGAATATAAACATCACAATACCAGTATCCAATGTCCCAGTGTTAACTAGACAGCACTGCTACACTTTAAATTGAGTGCTGACGTGTGCATTGGTTCAATGCACATAATACGCACAAATCTTATGAATGATTCATGTTATTTAATTCAAACTATTTCAAAATTTTCTATTTAAACTAATCAATATGAAAAATTATTGATTCAGTTAAAAAATTATCGAATAACAATATTTTTTAGTAATAAATGGTTTTGTTTAACGAAGATCCACTCAATCTAATCATCCACTTAATAACGTTCTTCCATTCTATCAAAACCAAACTTACGTTATCAATGACAGAGTGCTTAAAATTGAAAAAAAATCCGTTCGTAACTTGTGATCTCAACTTATTACAAAAAAGAATGCGCATAATGGATATTTCTTTTAGATAATCATAGTATTGAACATTCAAACAATGTTCCCCGCCTGTATTAAATGAGTCAATATAAAAGCAAACAACAGTCATGTAAATACATTTTCGACATGTATTTCTCACAGATATATGTTCGATTTAAAATTATTTAAAGTAATACTGTGTATGAGTAGTTGACCTAATGCTAAAGCCATTCACCTAATGATATATCTGTGACGGATCATTTCAAATGGCTGGAGTAGAAACAAAATTCATCATCACTTCTGATGAACTTATTGTATTTTCACTTAAATACAAAGAAATAGGTACAAAGGATCACCTAAATATTTATCCGGCATACAAAATTGTTGAATTTCTGAGTCAGACTAGCCCACTACTTAGGTGCCCAAACCCAATCACGTGGATTTCTCGGAGCGACGTAAGGAGATGTATTCCTATGGTAGATGCTCTTCAACAATTAGATTCATACACCATTAGTCCCGTCAGGATCCTGGAGGCCCATGTGTATCAGTGATCTGGAACCAGATTTTTTCCAACTCACCTAGGTGAGTACTTTGTACAATCCAACCCAGTTTAAAGCCATAGTCCGGATACTCACTTTTCGTCGTATCAACTTCGTAAACAACATTCTCGACAGAAGAAGACGGTGAAGTTGAACCTCTCTGACAGTGGTTGCATACGCATGGCCTTATGAAAAAATTTTAAGAGACAGAGAGAGCGGACACTTTCCACTCTTGGCTGAATCAAAGGAATCCGGAAGCATGCCCGTGAATAAATTCATTCTAAACAAACAATTCTCATATATTCAATTCGCATTTTTCGAGTAGACTAACTTGATTCTTTGAAGATGATGCTGTACACATTAACATTTTCCTATCTCTGAGTTTATTATATGCTAACCGCGTCAATTGTGGTGACAGTGGACTTTTCATTTCGAATAGTTTAGTTGTCCTGTACTGGGGGCGGCCAACCCAAAACATGGCACAAATCCATGAAGTCACTGACAGGT